CGACACATGGCCGACAATGTCGAGCAACACTATGAGCATGAGAAGTCCTATAGATGAGCCATCTGCTGCAAAACTAGGAGGGGGGGGGGTGCCGGTTTTTGTACACGGTAGCTGCGCAATGTACGCAGTGACGTCACAAGGTAACAAGAAAATCGGTAGGAGTAAGCATTGCGGGAAGGGGGGGGGGGAGTTGGGAATCGGGAATAATAAATCGGGAGTAGTGATTTCCGTTCCAGGATTTTCGGTCGTGAGAAGAGCTCCGGTACTGTGATCAAAGAGGCCAATATTGTATCGAACCGATCAAAGTCGCGCAGAGCAGGACCACTTGCAGCTTTCTCAAGAACCTACCGCCGATTTTGGACACAATTCCGGGGACTTACTCATTCACAGAACCAGCTTTCGTGCTCATCCAATTTTCAAAATTTTAACGACTCCTTTCTCTGTTGGAGGGTTTCCCCGTACCACCGCACGTACACTCACTAACACTACCTCTCTATCATCAACTCCACCACACCACTGTCTTCATATTCTCTGACTCTAATGGTGACACAGCTCTCCCCTATATTGAAACGGCTATGGAGCAGGGTGGGGTAGGTGTATGAGTATAATTTTCGGAACCTGCTTTAATCTGGTACCATATAGGCGCTCTTGTTTCAGAACACCAAACATGAAACCCATGAGCTTTCCTGTTAACAAACCCATTTGACGAATTCTGAAGTGGTAGAATCGGAATGATTATGCAGGGCACCCTTATAACCTACACAGCGAGAACAAAATGCCTCGAGGATCTTGCTAAGAGTGTTATGCTAGTTAGCCTCGTCGTTCGTTCACAACAACTACTAGGGGGATTTATAATCGAGCGACCAAATAAATACAGCAGTTTTGGAACGAGAAGAATGAAGTACCTTCAGGCATTGTCCTTTGTTCAATGCCTACCAATCAATAACTCTAATAAAATACAATCTTAGCGTACAAAAATACATGGTTGCGAAAACTTAACGAGAAAGAAAATATTCAATTCAAAAGAACATATCCCTAA